GCTTATGCCACTGTGATCCCAGGATTACATGCCACATGTAATCCCAGCACTTTGCTAGGCTGAGGCAGGTGGATCACCTGAGGTCCGGAGTTTGAGACCAGCCTGGCTAACATAGTGAAACTCCATCTCTACTAAAAACACAAAAATTAACTGGGTGGTCCAAGCTACTTGGGGGGCTGGGGCATGATAATTGCTTGAACCCAGGAGGCAGAAGTTGCAGTGAGCTGAAATTGTACCACTGCACTCCAGCCTGGGTGACAAAGCGAGATTCCATCTCAAAAAAATTAAAAAATAAGAGTAATGGTGGTAACTAGAGCTAAACATCTAAACATTTGAGTAGTCTTTGCACTTTTAGGATGGATTTAACCAAGTTTTCTTAAAGCAAATTTATTTTAAAGAGGAACTTAAAGGATAGAGTTGGGGATAGCATGCCAGATGGGTTACAGGTAGGGTTTTCAAAGTATAAAATAATAGTATAAAAACTCAGATAAAATGGGAAAAGATAAAAGAAAAATAAAATTATTGAATAGGAATAGCCTCTAACCAGAAAATACTTTTAAGTTCTGGGATACGTGTGCAGAGCATGCAAGTTTTTTACATAGGTATACACATGTCATGGTGGTTTGCTGCACCCATTAACCCAACACCTACATTAGGTATTTTTCCTAATGCTATCCTACCCCTAGCCCCCCCAAACCCCGACAGGCCCCGGTGTGTGATGTTCCCTTCGATGTGTCCATGTGTTCTCATTGTTCAACTCCCAGTATGAGTAAGAACATGCAGTGTTTTGTTTTCTGTTCCTGTGTTAAACATGAACTCATCCTTTTTTATGGCTGCATAGTATTCCACGGTGTATATTTGTCACATTTTCTTTATCCAGTCTATCATTCATGGTCATTTGGGTTGGTTCCATGTCTTTGCTATTGTGAATAGTGCTGCGATAAACATACGTATGCATGTGTCTTTATAGTAGAATGATTTGTAATCCTTTGGGTATATACCCAGTAATGAGGTTGCTGGGTGAAATGGTATTTCTGGTTCTAGATCCTTGAGGAATTACCACACTGTCTTCCACAGTTAGTCCACAGTGGTTGGACTAATTTACACTCCCACCAACAGTGTAAAAGCATTCCTGTTTCTCCACATCCTCTCCAGCATCCGTTGAGAAATCCATACTTTAAAAAAAATAAACAAATAAGATTAAAATTTTTGGTTGCCAATTAAGGTCTTAGTTCTCTCATAATGACTTTATGATTTAAAAAAAGTGACATATGGATATCTTTGAAGTGTCTTAAAGATGTTTTTATAATAGGAAGTCAATTACGTTGGCCTTCAAAATTTTTATTAACAAGCAAATTGGAGTACAATCTTGGTCGAACTGGCTTGGAAATTCTTATAACTCAGCTCCTCAAAAGTATCAGCTGATTGTGTTGCATTTAGATTCATTCCCTTTCAAAAGCTGCTTAGGAAACAAATTAGTGCTCAGAGCTGTTTATGCTTGTAAATGCAGTTAAAATTGAAAAGTCAATTGGGAAACTCACTGGAATCTCTTGATAATAGCAATGGTTGTTTCTGCTATAATAACTTGAACTGATGAGGCAGAAAAAACAAATCACGCCAAGGGTTTATAAAATGATATGTGTATTACTGATGCAAATTAAGTGAGCTACTCACATTGTTTTCTAGATTAAAAAGTAGTTTTTTTCAAGTATATGAAGTAGTCAGTGTATTATGGAAGTTTTTGTTTCCTCTGCTATTGCTGCACAGGATATTTTAAAATATGTTTATAAAACAAATGTTTCGAATTGAACTTTAAAACTCAGTCTTTAACTCAGTTTTTAAATTTCAGTATGACTGATGTAACTGAATAAATTAGAGGTACCTATCTAGATGAATGAGCTACAGTTAACATAAAACCGTCGTCTTGTATATTTTCTGTATGTAAATTTCTATTTAAAAAATGCATAATTGAGTAGAAATTCATGATTTTCTTTGGAAGATTGAATAATGCCACAGGAATGCCATTTCTGTATCAGTGCCACTGATATGTTCTTTAGACTAATAGCCCATTAGGCCAAATATAGGAGTAACTTCACTGAAAGATGCCTTTAATTACCCGCTGAGCAGCCTGGCAGAACTGCAAATTCTGGTTTCCTTGCTAGGAGGGACCTTGAGTGATAATTGGTTTGTTTTTGGTGTTTTAAAATGTATTTTTAATTTTCTTTTATGCATTTAACTACTTTTGAGTACCCACTATGTGCCAGGCATTTTGACACTGAGAATATATGAGTAAGAGATATGGTCTGTATTTTTCACAGAACCTACATTTTGTCAGGAATTACAGGCCAGGAAAGAGGCAATTGTAAAATCTAGTGTGATAAACTAACCCAGATGTTTGGGTTAAACAAGGCTTCTTAGGGGAAATGAGAAACTAGACAGGAGATAATGATGATCATGACCCACATTTGTAGTGGGAGTGGTGCTGGAGTGAAGCAGAAGGATTTCAGATGTTGTAGGTGCTAGATTTTATGTGGGGGGCGGGGGAATGTTAAGACAGCAAAACCTATGGGATTGTGGGGAGTGAAGAGCTTTCAAGGAGGACACCCAGGTTTCTTCCTTGAGCAGTTGGTGATGCCAGACTCAGTAAGAGGATTGGCTTTGGAGTTGCATGGTGAGAGAGGAAGAGGAGTTAATGTTCAATATGGTGAGTTCAAGGAGCCAATAGGTACATCTAAGCAGAAATTATATTACATGAATCATTAAGAAGAAACAGTAGATAAAAAAACTTTAAAAGTCCATATTATTCTTCAAATAGATATCTATTATAATGACCTGTTGTTGAAGCTCTAGAGTACATCAGAAAATTAGTTATTTAATGTAATTTTTCATCTTGTTTTGGAGTTTCTGTATAAATACTAAAAACCCCACAAAATTTAACAATAAATATTACTTTCCATAGCCTAGTTCACAACTTTTTTTATATGCTAAAGAATTTCATTTCATATAAACTGGAGGAGAAACTTACAAATTACTATATTTACATTCAGCTAAATCATTGCTACATAGAGCTGAGGCAGTGCACTGAGAATGAGACCATTTACTGTTCTGAGGGATTAGCTAACCATCTGTTGGCAACAAGACCTAAAAGAGTTTGCAGAGAGAAGGGGAGCTCTTTAATAAATGTTCCAGTTACTAATAGGCAAGCTTCAGGTTCTCTGTGCATACCAGTGTTTCCCAGAAAGCTAAGCATTGGAATCAGATAGCAGAATGGAACCATTTTTCCTTTAGTGTATAACTTGTGATAACTACCGTTTTTGTCTTATTATCTAAAATGCATAATAATACAACTTTTAATAAAGCAGGGCTTGTGAACTTCCTTTTTATGTCAGTTTACCCATTTTTGAAGATGTATACTTTATTATTAAATAAAGCTTTGAGATTTATAATGTATGTGTTCTAATGTTGCTGGAAATTTGACCTAATCAGATAATAACTGGTAGACATGTATACATGATCACAATTGCAGTACAAGGAGCAACGTGATAAATAAAATGTGTATTCTATTTAAGTTTCTAGCAATTTCTGAGCTCATTGGAAGAAACAAGGCTCAGATATTTGAGTTTACCTCATGAAAGCCGTTGTTTACATGTGCTTATAATACGAATGTGTTTTGGAGGTATGTTCTCACAGCTTACAGTAACTGTTGAGGGAACTGATAACCAATTTAACACTTGGTTTTGACAGTCTCATCAGGTCCCACCATTGGCTGATATTATATATTTTTTAAACATTAATATTCACAAGTATGTTAATACTTGATTTCATACCATTAAAGTGCAAATACGTCATTATCTTTCTTTTAGCCAGACTTTGGAGTTCAAATAATAAAACCACTGTGAGTTCAATTTTCAAAGCAAAGGATGAATTGCAAAATATATTTTTTTCTGATGAATCAGCTAAAACTTTTTCTAAAACTAGCTCCTGAGTGGCTCTCCGCTTACTCCATTTAAAAAGCTAAGCAGATTTAAACTGGTTAGTTCTGGCAGACATAAATTTTCAGGTCCACATTCCTGATTCACCTTCATTATAAAAGTAGTGCTGTTTGACTTTAATAATACGGCTTGAACTTATAAATATGTGTGAATATATTCTATATTTTGAAATGTATTCGATATTTGCAAATGTATTTTATATTTTTAAAACAATTGAGGTAGCATAGTTACACTCTACTAAGTTGGGAGATACAAAAAGTAATACTTCTGTTATTTATGATATATTGAATATTTGTGAGTTGAGGAATTACTGGCTATTGGATCTTGGCAGATTGAATTTATTGCTATATGAAAAATGATTGTGTATAATGCATTTCTTCTAGAAAATAAAATTATCTTGATAAGGTTTTAGTAACTATAAAATGGAAATGTGAAAAATGTTAGATGCTTTGATTTTCTTTAAAAATAAATCTAAATAGTTTTTTGACTTTTTGACTTTTATTAATTTGTATTTTTCTGGTTCTGGTTTATTTTTCTTCAATAAACATAGCACAATTTAAGAACATTATTTACTGTGTTTTGGGGGGGAGACTTGAGCATTTCTGTTATTGAACCTCATAATATTATAGGCACTTTTGCAAGTGTGTACTTCAGGTTTAATGAAGAAAGCACTGTAATGTAAAGGCCAAGAATCTGTAAAGGTAAATTGCTGGGTTCAGTAGTATTTTTTTATATTGTGCAGTAACATCTCTGGACTAAGATTAAAATTGAATAATTAAGTTTTTAGTTTTTGCTATCCTTAAGAATTTAATATTACTGAATACTGAATGAAATTTAAGCAGAAAGTATTAGGCCACATTGTATGTTAATACTAATGTTCTTTAGCATTTTACCTCTGTTTCGCAGACTATCAAGGACTCTGTGATTTTACTAAGATTTGTATATTCTTAAAGTGACTTATAGAAAACAAAATTTCTCAAGTCTTTTGTTTCTCTTTTTTTTCCATAGGGGTACCAAAGTCTGATCTCTTGCACACCAAATCATTAAGGGGCCATAAAGACTGCTTTGAAAAGTATCATTTAATTGCAAACCAGGGTTGTCCTCGATCTAAGCTTTCAAAAAGTACTTACGAAGAAGTTAAAACCATTTTGAGTAAGAAGATAAACTGGATTGTACAGTATGCACAAAATAAGGATCTGGATTCAGATTCGGAATGTTCTAAAAACCCCCAGCAGCATCTGTTTAATTTCAGGCATAAGCCAGAAGAAAAATTACTCCCACAGTTTGACTCCCAAGTACCAAAATATTCTGCAAAATGGATAGATGGAAGTGCAGGTGGCATCTCTAACTGTACACAAAGAATTTTGGAGCAGAGGGAAAATACAGACTTTGGACTTGCTATGTTACAAGATTCAGGTGCCACTTTATGTCATAACAGTGTATTGTGGCCTCATAGTCACAACCAGGCACAGAAAAAAGAAGAGACAATCTCTAGTCCAGAGGCTGATGTCCAGACCCAGCATCCACATTACAGCAGAGAGGAATGTAAGTAAAATGGGGAGAAAAGTAACAGTTGGGTGGTTTGAGATTTTTATACATTTATATAAATGTGTAATGGGTCAATAATTTTGCTGTGGAAACGTAGATTTGGTAACAGGTTCACCTTAGCAAAAATGAGGCATCTTAAAACTTTTCATTCACTGGAATTCTATCTTCTAAGCATTGAAGTTCAGCAGTTTCCATGTTTGTTTTGCCATATAAAATGATTACACTAAATGGAATCAACAAACTGAATTGGAACATCCAGGATTCGTATAGTTTAGAAGTACAGCTTCATCTATTGGCTAATACACATTGTCATGTTGCTGATCCCTACAAGACTGATGTAGGCATGTGTCTTGTTGACTGGTGGTGGCATTTCAAAAGCAAAAATCTGACATTTTACTAAAGGCCAAAGGTAATGTGTGCACTTACTGTAAAGTTAGACAGGGTGATTCATTCTCTCTACATCTATTTCTACAAAAATTTACAGAAGCTGAGGTGATTTTAATTGTCTTGAAATCATGATTTCAGAGCCAGAAGGGACCTCAGATATCTTGTTATACAACTTCTTGATTCTAAATGTGAATTATTTAAGATTGTATATCTAGATAGACAAACTGATTTTTCAAACTGCATATTATAAGCTGTGTAATGCTTAATCAAAATAAGCTTAATGGGTAGTGACTTAACACTTTTTAAAAACTGAAACAGAATAGGAGATACCAGAATTCATTGGACCTACTACTAAGTATTTTTTGGTGAAACCTTTGTTTCATTGGAGGGTGGTGGTGTACTGGGAGTGATTAAAAAAATATGTTTCTGGCCAGGCACAATGGCTGACACCTATAATCCCAGCACTTTGGGAGGCCAAGGTGCGAGGATCAGTGGAGCCCAGGAGTTCAAGACCAGCCTAGACAACATAGCAAGACCCCATCTCTACAAAAAATAAAAAAATGAGGTGTGGTGGCACACGTCTATGGTTCCAGCTTCTAGGGAGGCTGAGGTGGGAGCAATCACTTGAGCCCAGGAGGTTGAGGCAACAGTGAGCCATTGATCACACCACTGCACTCCCAACGGGGTGACAGAGCGAGACCCTGTCTCAAGACAGAATAAAAATAAAAGTTTTTTTACCATGGGTTGTGGTCAGGGTTTGAAAACGTCTCCTCCACAGTTAAGAGCATTAATGGTTGAATGCTGGAGTACTGCTGAATGTTGTGTTGACAGTTAAGTGCAGATTTTAAAAAATAGGATATTGTGTTGGTGATATAAGCTGCATGTTTTCCTAGGTTGTTGTGGTAATAGTGAATACATTTTCATGTTTCAGTGAATTCGATGACTCTTGGTGAGGTAGAACAACTGAATGCAAAGCTCCTCCAGCAAATCCAGGGTAAGAATCACTCTCACTGCTTTTTTGTGTGTGAAAAATTTTGACATAGAAAATCACCTACGATAAGACACCATTGGCTTTATCTACCTTTAAATTTGGAAATGAGATATTCAAACCTGTTAGAATTTCCAGAGCAAAAAGTATAAGAAACAAACAACTTTCAATTGCAGAGGAAATACATTTTTCTTTTAGTTTTTTTTTTTTTTTTTTTTTTGACAGAATCTTGCTTTATCACGCTGGTTGGAACGCAGTGGTGATCCTCCCAAGTAGCTGGGACTTACTGTCATGTGCACCATTACACCCAGCTAATTTTCTATTTTTTATAGGGATGGGGTCTCACCATGTTACCCAGGCTGATCTCGAGATCCTGGGCTCAAACAGCCCTCCTGCCTCACCTTCCCAAAGAGCTGGCATTACGGGTGTGAGCCACTGCACCCGGCCACATTTTTCTTTTCTAAGTGAAAATGGAAACTACAACCTCTTACTAACATTTTATTGACTACCCACGATTGCACCAGGCACTGTGTGGGAGTGCTCCCAAACAGTTCTTTAAGGCATGTGATACTAGTCTTTTTTGTTAAATTATAAACAATTTCAAATATATATAAAAGTAGTGAGACTAGTATAGTGAACCCCTTAAGCCATCTTCACCAACTTCAACTGTTATCAAAGGCATAATTAATAATCATCTCTACTTGCATCCATTCCCATTGCACTACCCGTAGCATGGATTATTTTCAGCCAAATCCCAGCTAACACATTGGTTTTTGTCCATAGATTAGGATTTCTTCTAAAAGATAACTTTTTAAAAAACAGTCACAATCTCATTATCACACCATTTAAATTAATAATTCCTTAACATCATCAAGTCTGATGCTAACACTTAACAATTAATGTTCAGATTCCCCAATTATCTCCTTTTCAGTTTATTTCCTTTTAGATGAGAAAATTGTACTTCAGAGATGTTAAGTTGCTTACAGAGATCATGCATGCAATCAGTAGCAGATCAAGGATTTAAACTCCAAAGCTTAACCACACAGCCTCTCAGAATAATAAAAATAATCGCAATAATAGTTGTAGAAACTTATGAGTGCTTTACAAATATGATCTCATTTAAGTTTTACAGTAGCCTGGTGAAGTGCTTACTGTCGTTATTAATGTTACACAGGAAAGGAAACTGAAACCAAAAGTTGCTTGCCTGAGGCATGTAAGAGTAGGAACAAGGATTCAAAACTCCTGGTAGTCTGATTCCAAAGCCTTTTAGAGGGGATTCCAGACCTGAATACTAATGGGCACTTCTTGTCCGTAAATCACATTATATACTGATTGAATCTGTTCATAGATTCTAATTGAAAAAAGTGGCTTAGCTACAGTAGCAGCCACCATGTTTGCTGTGCATCTCTGGAGTCATTGCTATGACTCAAATTTCACTTGATGGAGAAAAGCCAAATTCCACTTGGCTATGTACAGTATATGACGCTTAGGATGATCAGAACTGATATGCTTTGTAGAGAACACAAGTGTTTCCTTGGTATCAAATCAGTTTCCTTGTGACACTTTGCCCAATGCATAGATTTCAGTTAGAGTTCTTGAAATATAAATCATAGCACTGGCTTTCTGCATACTACAAATGAAAGTTTTTCAATCTTTTACAGAAGTTTTTGAAGAGTTAACACACCAAGTGCAAGAAAAAGATTCCTTGGCCTCACAGCTCCATGTCCGCCACGTTGCCATCGAACAGCTTCTGAAGAACTATTCTAAGTTACCATGTCTGCAAGTAGGGCGAACAGGAATGAAGTCACACCTACCCATAAACAACTGACCTGAACAGACTTACTTAGTATGCCCTGCCCTTTATTGGTCTCCCAGACATGCAGACTTTGAAGAAGCTTGAAGAAAGTCCTGGTCCATTTTTTTATGGTCATTAAATTTGCCAAACATAAGGCAGTATTAGACATCTTTTTCAAATAAAGCAGATCATTATATTCTAGTCTTCTGGGGCTAATCATTTTGGCTCATTTGGGGACTCTTTTTTTCCCATAATTACTAAACAAATTTTATCACATGTGACTACTTAAGTACACTGTTAGAGTGTCATTTTATTAAACATTTTAATGTAATTCACCTGTCGAAACAACAGATTAACTCCTTAAACTACTAAAGATAATTTTTAAGAGGGAAATGGAATTCATATCACCTCTTATTTATTATGAGCAATATTTTAATATAAAAATTTTATATGTAAAAATGCTATTTTAGGTACTTGCCATTCTCTTTATAATTGTATATTTGAGTGGTTCTGTATATTTATTTACACTATCATGTGTGAATATGTTCACCCATATTTCAGGTCACTGCATTTTATTTTAATACAGTGTTTTTACAATGGTTACCTTGCTTTCCAAAGATAAATGTATTTTGGATTAGAAATCTATTTAGTTGAGTTGTTTTAATTTCTAATAACTCTTAAAAAGAGGAATTAGTAACTTTTTAAAGCAGTATTCAAGTAAATAAAATACATTATTTTGTTTTCTAACAAAAGCAGTTATTCGGGAAGTAAAGACTAATCTGGCTTCTCTGTCAATTTGTCTCCATGGAAATGAAAGCCGCCTCTGCTTCTTTCATTATTAGCTTCACACCAATGACCAATGTATTAGAATTTGGACAGAGTAAGTCAAGCCTCACTTCCAATTCAAATATAATATCTATCTTCAAATTGAATGTGCTGTGAAATTGTTCTGTCTTTGAAAAGAAAGTGAGGTTATTTTGTGTGCCACAAAGTTTCAAGAATACTTAAACTGTCCAAATTGTATTATCACCATCATTGAACTTAGTGCTCAAAAAAAGCGTTGTGAGGTATTTTTCTAAACTTTATAGAGAAAAACAGGATTACTTGACAGAAGAAAAGCAAAACTCCTAATTTAAAAAATATAAGCCTATATATAGAATGTTCTTGTAAGTTGCCTATGATGCTTCCAAAGAGTTTATCTAACAGATTGTCCCAAACAGCTAGATACGTTTTAATAATGTATTATAGTAAAAGCTATAACCAATGCAGAATTAAAAGGGGCTCTAAATTCTGTTTTTAACTCATGTTTAGAATGTATATATGAGGTAGATCCTTGCTTGAAAGTATCTACAGAAAAACCCAGTAACTTGGCAGCTTCATGCATAAAGATATAAATGACATTTGCCTTAAATTTGGCAGCCTACCCTGGCTTGGGTCAGATTTTATTCTTAAACACAAAAAAAGTATTTAAGCAAATAAACACTTCAATCTAATTGAAAACAACTTTTTGTAATGCTAACGTGTTAAATTGGCCTGAAAGTATTAATTGATATCCATTGATTTTGTTTTGTTTTTCTTTGAAGTATAACATTACTTTTTGGGGGAATTTTTGAAAGATGCTTTCAATTTCTCTCAATTCTTTAAGTCATGCAAAATGAATTTAAAATCCAGGGAGTATGGATGCATTGCCTTAGTTTTGATGAGCTTTAAATTAAATGTGTGCAATATCAAAATATTCAAACTTACAATTTGGGTAAATACATTTCCTGATTATGCCAGTATCTTAGTGCTTAATTGTTCCCACATTTTCAAATTTGACTTTACTCTCTTCTGGCGTAATTCAGTAAGATGGTTACCAGCCAGTGTGTTTGCGCACATTTGGGTTTGTGTTTAGATGAGTTAGGGACAGTCATAAAAGTTGGGGATATGTTGCATTTGATATCAGTAGTAGCATATTTCCAGAATATGAGCCATAAGTTGCAGTCCTGAATGCTACAGTGTTATCCAAAGAAAGGAGTTTTCTGACAAATATATAGCTTTACTAATGAGTACGGAACAAGTGGATGAGAGTGTGCATGTACTAAAGTCTTAAGTGGGGACTCTGATTTATTGCATTTAGATATTTCTACTTAAGCTCTTCAAAGGAGAGGTGCTCTTAAAAAAAACTTTGTGGTGCTGGTACTCACACTACTTTATTTGGATGAGTTCCTAGTGAAAAAAATTTTTTGAAGTATTTTGCACAGCAGTTTATCCAAATATTTGGTAAACTTACAATTTAGTCCTATGTTTTCTTAATTGAATATGCAATTACTGTGTATGCAAATATAAGTATCAGGTACAGAGTTGAGTTCTAACAAGAGAACATGAAATATCACAAATACTGTTTTCCATACTTGGCTGTTCTCTACTGTTGTTAGTAATTTTTGAGGATGTTTTGAAGCATATCTCATGTACTACTGTTTAAAAAGTGGCAAAACAGACTGCCAGTCATTCATTACTAAATTTTCAGAGCTTATGTGATTAAGGGGAGTGAGATAAGACTAATCGTTTTCACGTTCAGTTTTATGATTTGACAAGTTAAATTGAGTTTTAAAAATCAGAAAAGTGTTTTTGACCACACAGATTCTCTTTAAAGTTTTAAATCAGTTCAGCCTTATAATTAAGCTAAAAATCAATTATGTTTACTCTGAGATTTTCATCTTATCCTTTGATCCTCATATTAATATCTAAATTAGTCTTTTTTAAAAGGCATACACTTGAGTGTCCAGTAATAGATGATTCAGGCAGCAGAATAGTGTTTTGTTGTGTTGTTTACTGTGAATAGTGGTAGAGCAAAGACACGTTCTTAGGTTTTCAAAATACATGTTCATTTTACCACAAAGTGCCCATTTTTATATACATTTAAGGATTATTTTTTCAATGTCAACTTCATGTTAGAAAGTGATTTCAGAAATATAGTAAAAATATATAGTCAAATATATCTTGACAGGCATCTTGAGATACGGATTTTCATTTTACCATCTTTTTTGTTTGTTTGTTTTTGTTTTGAGACAGAGTCTTGCTCTGTTGCCCAGGCTGGAGTAAAGTGGCGCGATCTCAGCTCACTGCAAGCTCTGCCTCCCAGGTTCACGCCATTCTTCTGCCTCAGCCTCCCGAGTAACTGGGACTACAGGCGCCTGCCACCACGCCCAGCTAATTTCTTTTTGTATTTTTAGTAGAGACGGGGTTTCACCGTGTTAGCCAGGATGGTCTCGATCTCCTGACCTTGTGATCCGCCCGCCTCAGCCTCCCAAAGTGCTGGGATTACAGGTGTGAGCCCTTGTGCCCAGCCATTTTACCATATTCTTTATGACTGAAAATGGTTTTGTGTTTTATGTTGTTTATATATTTTTTACCTTAGTGTTTACACTGGTAAGGCTTGTCAGTACATTTTTGTGGTTTTTTTTAAAGTAAGCTTTTAGATCTGTTTGTGTTTTAATGTTTCCCAGTTTGGGTTTTGTTTTGTTCTGGAAGAATCTGCTTTTGTTATTAAATTATAAAATGTAAAATGTAAATGCTCTAAAGTAGGAATTTTTAAAGAGTAAGTTATTTGTGTAGCTTAATTGGAGGTTCAGGTTAGTGACCATAACGTGGGTTACTTGTACATGAAAATTTTAAATGGTACCATGTAAAATTCTTGTCACTTGTTCTGACTTATGCCAGTTCATTTACTGACAAATGTTACTAACAGCTTATTAAGAAGTGTGATACGCTATAAAAAATGTTAATACTTTTTGTTCAGATGTAAAGCAAAGATAATTGATATCATTTCAGTGTGTGATTGTATTTTTAACTTTAGGATGCTGGGAGTAATTATTTCAGGAAATTTGTGGTGAAAATTAGTAAGAGATAAAACCCTCAACAGTTTATTCTTACCAAGTAAAGTTTTGTGGTCATGGGGCAGGGAAGAGTTTATTTACCAGAATACTAGAGCCCTCACACGAAATAAAGGTAACTTGGAGGAGGGCTATAATGCTTGCATCGCAGGATTTTATTTCACTTCATCCTTTCATAATTGCCCTTAGTATGGTGCAGTCTAACCTATTAAGCAACTTCTGGCTATGGTAACATTGATATGAACCATATTATGTCAAGTCTCCAAAATACCTAGTTTGTAACATATGCTTTCCCTGTTCTTTTTAGTTTGAGTCCACATTACTAATACATTTTAATAATATTTAATTATTTCACAGTTTTAAGTTTACTAAAGTAAACAAAAAATCATGAAGATAAGTATTGCCCTCCCCCAAAAAAGGTTTAAAGATTAGTTGAACTTCCCTCAACTACACCTAAATAAAGCAAAGGGGAATTTTAGTAAGTGTGTATCTTGTCTCTTTCAGACACATCTAGAATGTTTTTCTTTCACCATACCTCCAAAAGAGGCAGTTTGGAAAGTACTAAGTAGTAACTTTTGTTCAATTCCATTTTGTGTGTGTGTTTGTGTGTGTGTGTGTGTTAACCTTGCTTTAAAACAGTAGCATATACTATGGTCATTGAACTTAATCTCTCTGGTGTTAGAAATTTACTTTACAAAATTGTGTTAAGACTTGGAAAAAGAAAATGAAACTGCTGTGGTAAAAACCAAGTTCGTTTCAAAAAAGTATTGACAATTATTGGGCTGTTATATTTTCTTTGAAAACTGCAATAATTTATATATTTGTATTGCTCTGCTTTGGAACTGTATATATGCTTGTCTACTATTTTTAATTTTACAATAAAATAAGTATTTTGTTATCTGCTAGCTTGAGTGAATGTTTTTAAAAGTAGCTATTTTTTTAAAATGGTGGGTCTATATGAAGGGTTTTGCTTTTGCAGGTTTAGGGAGTCTATACTTAGAATGATCTTATCTGACAATTTCTTAATTTCTTGTAATAATCTTAACTTGGCTTTGATACTTAATATTCTCTGTCTCCCAACAATACAGAAGCAGGAAATAAGATGCCTGTGACTTACTAGATGTGTATGCAATTTTTTTTTAATTGGGGCGTAATTTATATACAGTAAGCACACAGGCATTTTACTGTATCGTTTGAGTTTTAACAAATGTATGCAACTGTAGAGCCATCACTCCGTTTGGTTGCCTTCACGGTCACTTTCCATTTTCCTTCCACTGATTGTTCTGATCCTTTTTTGAGATAGAGTGGAGTCTCTCTGTTGCCCAGGCTGGAGTGCGGTGACACGATTTCAACTCACTGAGCCCTCCACCTCCTGGGTTCAAGCGATTCTCCTGCCTCAGCCTCCTGAGTAGCTGGGATTACAGGTGCACACCACCACGCCCGGCTAATTTTTGCGTTTTTAGTAGAGACAGGGTTTTGCCTTGTTGCCCAGGCTGGTCTTGAACTCCTGATCTCAGGTGATCTGCCTGCCTCAGCCTCCCAAAGTGGTGAGATTATGGGCGTGAGCCACCACGCCTGGCCTGATTGTTCTGATCTTTATTACTGTACTTTGCATTTGCCTGCATTAAAAAGTTTACATAAATGAAGTCATTTTTTCATTCCACTGTATGTTCTTAAAATTCATCCATGTTAGCTCAAGGATCAGTAATAGTTCATAGTTCATTTCCTTTTTTTTTTTTTTTATGGCTGAGTACTGCTCCTTTGTATAAATATATTATAATTTAATTATTCACCTGTTGATGGACATTTGAGTTGTTTTTAGTTTGGGGCTTATCTGAGTATGAGTATTTTTATATCAGCTTTAAAACATTAAAATAGGACTACAACAAAATATTCAAGGTCACTTTTAGTTAGCATTATGAATCTGAATATTACATTACCAGTTTTTTTTTCCACAAATGATTTTTAAAGTCATTTATATGATGCTTTTATGGCAACAAGCAGTTTTAAAACTAGGAAACAGATGATTTTACAAAAGTTCAGAGGCAAATTACAAAATAAGGACTGCTTGAGAATTGAAACATTTCATGGGGTACTAGAATAATCTGTCCTTTTTAAAAGTCTCTTCAAAGTCTAATAATCATACTGCTTTGTTTTTCAGGAGAGGAAATGGAGACCAAGAGTCTGGTTTGGAAAGAGTACCAGACCACAAATGAAGTTCTCCTGTTTAGTTTAACTGAGTGACATTA